TAGAAATAACAGCCTGACTGTTAATAACCATCAATCCAGTCTCCTGGTACCAGTGCCATAGTCTTCCCTACTGTGCCGAGGAACCTCTGGAGAAAAGGATTAAATTGAAGCTATTGGGAATCCTGGAGTCGCTGCCGTGAGACCATCCTCCTGGGTAGACTTGCAGCAGAGGAAAGGGCTAGAGACACTTTCTGGAGCTTGAGCAACTGATTCTGATTTATTTCAGCCTCTTTGGGGCCACATCCACTGTGGGGTGGCCCATGGCAGACAAGAGGCCTCCTGATGTCACCCTCAACCTCCTGGAGCTTGGGCCAAACACAACAGTGGCAGCGGGATTGGGACCATCTGCTCTTGGCAGACGTTTTGCGGTGCCGGTTACTCTGCCTCATGATGGGGAGCAAAATGCCAAGAAACTATTTTTGGGGCCCACCACTGTAGTCTGAGCTGCTCAGGACCCCCCATGGGCAGTCAGACACTTGGGTCCCACTTCTGGTGGCCCCCAACCTTTGTGGGCACCATCCAGTGGGGATGGATGTCGCGTTGAGGGGCCACCTGGTGAGAATCATCGTGGGAAGCTGTTTTTTGTTGGGTGAGAAACTCCCACAGACTATTTTACACCTCAGTGGCTTTCAACTGATCATGAAAGAAAAAATGTATACATATATATATATATTTGGCATGTTCTGGAGGTGACAATCACCACAATGAAGGGACAGAAACACAGACGTTGGAGGCTTCTCCCCCAGCTTCCAGCCATGGCTGCGAGCGCTGAGTGCTCTTCATTGCTCCGGCTCTGACATTCGGCTTTCGATGGAGAAATGTCCCTTTTTTTCCCCCTTTCCTGCCTGGATGGCTCTAGGTTTTGCATTGCGGGTATGGGCACCGTGGTATAGAGCAAGAGATATGGGAGGACAGGATAGATTTGGGGTGAATGAGGATTTTTTTTCATTTAAAATTCCACTTTTCCCTCACCCCGTCATTTTTCAGGCTGCAGTTTGGAACCTAGTTGCATTATTTCCCCTGTTTTCAAATCCCACATTTTAGAGGCTTTGCACTGCAGAGGATTCAGTAATATTTACCCCTGAGCCAAAAGAAAAATCCTCTCTTGTTTTTTTTTTCCAAAATACACTTCTGTTATTTAAAATATATAATTCGTTTCCATGAATTTTAAACAGATTTTGACTGACAGATATTTTAATGTGAAGACTCTCTGACATCGAACTTCATTTTGATCGCAAAGGAAACATTTAAAAATACAAAACAAAAAAACAAAGCATGCTACAGGAAAAGGAGAATTTCCCTGGGCATTTATTTGCTAAGGAGTCTGCAAATATCAGCGTTCAACTTCCAAACACCTTAAAATAAACCGGTCGCAAAGGCAGGTGATTGGTGTGGGTCATTTCAGACACCCACCCGGGCTGGTTTCTTGTTTAGATGATAAGTCACCCGATCCACGTGGGGGAGAGTCTTAGATTCTCTGGTGTCTAATATGAAGGTTGAGCTGCCTTTGGCTCTCCTTCTCTTGAGCCGTGAGGCTGGGGCAGCAGGAAACCCTTCGCCCCGTGCACTTTCCCTCGCTGCTCCGGCACACTGAGCTCTTGGGAAAGAGCGGATTTCTCGGTTTGCTCGTTTTTCTCTGAAGTGCCACCGCGACGTCCCCGTCTCCCCTCGGTGGTTATCGCTCTTGCTAAATTCTGCTCCTGGGGCTGCGGTGACTCAGCCGGGGCGGCGCGGATCCGAGCGTCCCCGAGCGTGTCCACGGACGGGAATTCAAGCTTATCGCCAAGGAGATTTCAAGGTGATTCGGCTGCTGTTTGGAATAAATTCCTAGGTGAAAACGACGGTGTCCTGGAGGACTCATTACCTTGGCAGAGGAAGGCGCAGCAGGAGCCAAGGCTGGGAAAAGGCGGCAGATAAATTACAAAGAAAAAGAGTGGTTTTTTTTCTGTGGGGATTGTGGTTAGTTGGTGGAAACCTCCCCCTCTTGGTTTCTTTTGATGGGGATGAGGAGTCATTTCTCTCCAGGCTGAGCTGCGGGTGGCCCTGGGTGAAGCACACGGTGGGATTGGGGACTGCTCAGTCCATCCAGCAGCTGTGTCTGGTCTTCAGCTGGAGCAGTCAAGGGATGCGTCCACCAAGCATGGGGACATGGGTCACCCAGCCAGAAGACCAGTTACCAGGCTGATCACGTAACTGGTGGTGGCATCAACCCCCTGTGAGTATTGGGGGTGAGTGGGGATCCAGACCTGAATTTGGGAGAGATTAGGCAGAGCCTGAGTTGTCCCAAGGCTTCGCCCCACAGGTGGACTACAAGGGACATCACCTCACTTGGTGCTGCAGCATCTCCTAGGCTGCCTGGACCTCTGTCAAGCTGCCTAAGGTCAAATCAGAGTTTTTTGGGTCACCCTGGCCAGGCCGTGTAGGTCTGATGTGCAGCAACCACCAGGAACTCCATGAAGCCACTGGGGACGGATCTGAAACCTGCCTGATGGCTTTTGAGACCCACTTTGGCCAGCAGTGGGACCTGAGGCTTTGTGGAGAGCACTGGGATCGCCCTCGACCTTCCTCCGCACCGAAGTCTCATCCAGTGCTGTTGGCCTCTCTTGGGTCTCCTGTCCTCCTGCCTTCAGCAGCACTTGGGCCGAGCACAGGCTCATTTCTGGGAATGGACATTTCTGGGAAGGGACATTTCTGGAAAGAGGAAGAAGGGGACAAGGTAAAGTGAAGTCAACTCAAAGATGAAGCCTGCTGAGCTGCTGGATTTTTGGGTGCAGGTAACCCAGGTCCTGGGTGCTGTTGAGCAGTCCTGCTCCTGTGCCTTCTTCCCTCTTCTTTGCACACATCAGAGGAGATGACACGAGAGCATTAATAGTCGAAATAAATTTATTTCCTATAAGACATCTGAACTGTTTGCATGTTACAAAAATAAAAAACGTACAGATATTGTCACAAAATCCACTTTTTTAGTATAAGTTAGTGCATTTACGAACAATAACAAAAAATATATATGTATATATATAAATTTCCAGACGGTACCTCTCCAATCGCTCTGAATCCAAATAATGCCACGATCTTGTGTGGACCCAAGGACCACAGAGGGATCCACATCAGATAGGGATTGAGGTGAACCGTCCTACAAACGTCCTGCTTCTCCTCACGGATGGGGCTGAGCATGGAGGGAGGCAGTTCCCTCCTGGTCTCCTGTGGCCATAACAATGTTGGCCAGGAGCCCTCCAAGGGACCACGGCTCCAGTGAGCGGGACCGCAGGAACCTCACAGTTATCTCCGTGGGGTCCTAGGAGCTCCGGCTCTACGTGGCTGGATACGTGGCGCCACGTCGTTATCGCCAGCAAGCCACAAACTCATGTTTAGAAGCAGGAGGGAAGGGAGAAAGTCTTTTTAGGTCTGAGCAATTGGTTTGAAACCAGGATCAAATGTATCTAATGTATCTAATGTCTACCCCTAAAATAGACTCGTGGCTGCGTTCACAAAATAGGACTAGTCCAGCTCTGCAGGACAAACAATTTCCATTTTGGGGTGAGTAAACAGCAAGGCTGGGCAAGGAAACCACGTGCCTGGGCTCCCTGCTCTTAAACCCGGCAATTACAGGGAGAAAGACCAAGCGGATCATCCAGTGAATTGTTTTGTGGGTATTTTTGCTAGCCTAGTTTGAACTGTCCTGACCAACTGAGGGATGCAAGGCCAAATCCAGTCAGGACTGGCATGAAGCAGGTCAACTCAATGTCTAGAAAGCTGATCAGAAAAGGTCTGAACAAAAGAGGCTGGTTTTGCTCAGACAGTGCTGTCCATCCCAACCACTATCCCAAAGAGCACCTCTACATGAAGGAGACATAAGCCATTTGCAATCTATTTGAAATTTTCCTCCCCTTTCCCAGGCCCTAAAGATCAGCATGGGCAAGACAGTCACCACAGCAAAGGCTGGAGAAGAAGTCTAGTCCTAGACACAGGAGCAGGGTCACTTCCCTGCTCGAAGATGCTCCAACGGGAGTTAAACCACACAGAGGGTTAGTCCAGACTAGTTAGTCCTGACTAAAGCTCCACATTTAACACTAGGGCTCCTAAGCCCGGCATTCAGCATCGCCGAATTTCCAAGGGAAGGTCCATGCTGTCAGCAAGGATACGGCTCCTTTGCTGGAAATATGAATCATTAATAACAGAGTTAAAAACACGGCACAAAGAGCTCAACGCCCTGAAGTTTTAATGAGCTGGAGATGAGTATTAAAGGCAGCAGTTGAGACAACGCTACGGGTTGCTAAAAGCCTTTCAAAGGTGGATGTTGCCGAGTAGCAAAGCACTAGCAGGTCTCTGGTGAGGAGGACATTCACCCCATCACACTTCTCCATGGCGGAGGCTACAGAGGACCTACGTGATGGTACCAGCAAGTCACCACTGGATGGATGGTATCACCCCATCAGCAGCCCCTTTATGGGAAAACAGCCCTTGGATGAGTCCTCGAAATCCCTTCCTGGCTTGTCTAGACATGGGCAGAAGCTGGGGAAACTTTTCTTTAGGGTTGTCAAAGACGTAGGAGAAGTTGTTCCTTCCCTGCAGTGGGCAGCATTTGCATTTGATATTTTTATCGACCTGTTTATTAAAACCACAGCTGACATTCCTCATCAATCAAAAGCCTTTCTTCCCTTGCCAAGACGCACAAAACTTCCGGTAAACACTTGCTAACAGCGTGCCAGGGAAACTGGAGAAAGGCAAATCTCCTTCTTCAGTTTTCAGAGGCCTTTTGCATTCTTCTGGTTTAGAAAATTTAAATGTTCAGGGCATGATTCTCTAGCACATTTTGCCACCATCGCAGAGGTCACCAATGTGCACTGTTGGGCAGGTGCTATTTGGTGTTGACTGATGGGCTGGTTTGCCAGAAGAGATGCAGATAAGGAGTTCCTTGGCACAACCCCAGCAATATCTTCCTTAAAAAAACATTCAAAATGGCAGCTTGCATTTAATGTGGACCACGCTGAAGTGGGTGCAAACCCGGGCTCTGCAAACCACCACCGGCCTCAGGAGACCCCAGGTATCATCAACTCCCTCCACACATGGCTAAACCCTTCCACTGGGAACAGGGTACTCACCATAACGTGATGGAAAAGCGCTAGGACTTCCCATCCTTGGATATTGTTTCAGTGTCACTGCTGGTTTTCAGGTGAGTATTGGGCATGATTCCTAGGGCCGTCTCATTTTGGGTTTTCCCTAGCATTTTGTGGCCTGCAAACTTCATAAATCTTTGTCCTGCTAAGAAATATAAAATGGGATCCAAGCAACTGTTGGTGCTAGCTAGGGGCCTGGTGATCTTATAGGCTAAATTGATAGCATTGAGGGTCTGACAACTTAAGTCCCAGCTCCTGAAGGAGTAGTACAAGGTACGAGTGATGTGAAAAGGAAGAAAGCAAACGATGAAGACCACCAGGACTATGATTATCATCTTAACTGACTTCTTCTTGGATCGGGACCTGTGGGAGATACCGCGTGTGGGCTGTAGCAGCCTCCGAGCCATCAGGCAATAGCACACGATGATGATGAGGAAGGGGATGCAGAAGAGAAGCACCAGCATCACCGAACTGTAAATGACAAACTGGCCAAAGAGGTCCTTCCTGGACGTGTCGTGGCAGGTGACACTGTTGCCCTTCATGCTGGTGGTGACGAAGAAGAGAACGGGCAACTGGCACACCACGGTGACCACCCACACGATGACTGACACTCTCCGGGCATAGCGCACGTGTCCCCACTGCAGGGACTTCAGCGGGAAGCAGATGCCCAGGAAGCGATGGATGCTGATGCAGAGGAGGAAAAGGATGCTGCAGTACAGGTTGGTGTAGAACAAGAAGCGGACTATCTTACACAGGCCCACGCTGAAGGGCCAGTTGTCCCCCATGGCATAGTAGTACACCAGGAGGGGCAAGGAGACCACGTAGAGCGTGTCGGACACGGCCAGGTTGAACATGTACGTGGTGGAGGCGTTCCACGTCTTGATCCTGAAGATGAAGCCATAGAGGGCCAGCAGGTTGAGGAACAGCCCCACCACGCACACGATGCCATAGGAGACGGGCAGCAGGACATACTTGAAGTCCTCATCAAAGAGACACTTGTACGTGTTGTCCCCCGTGCTGCTTGTGACCCAGGAGGTGTTGACGGTTCTGCTCCAGGCATGAGGAGTTGTGAAGTTCGCCATCACCTTGGGGGAAAAGGAAAGAGGTGGTAAGGACACAGTGGGGAGGATTCCACAGAAGAGGTGGATTAGAGGAGAAAAGCGCATTGCAGAGCCCAGGATTTTCACCATTACTCTGTATTTGCACTGTACTGTGCTGTATTTGTAGAGGGGAAGTATTTGTGTGCTTCCCCTCTCCTGTTCATGCTGCTGGCAGCGCTTGGGGGGGTCTTTCCCAAAGCTCCCCATAAGTTTGGCTCCTTGGGTGGCCCGTAAAGCCATCGCAATGCGTGTGACAACGGCTCCAATGGCAGCCGTGCGTATCTCATGCCAGGACGTTGTGTTCCCATTGAGGTCAGGGCATCATTGGGTGTCTACACAAGCAACCTCATGGGTAAGACTGATAGTCCATCACATACATCTGCAGACCAGAGAAGGAGTCAAACTGGTTTAAAGTCACCAAGAAATTCAGGCTGTATCTGGGTGCCAAACTTGGTCTTTCCGCAGCCTAGTTCAGTGCCCCAAACCACCTTTCCTGGCATGAGCAAATCCGGTCTTCCGAGCTGCAGAACGGGAAGTACGCGCCGTTCTGTGGTCAACCATCCATGAGCAGAGACACAGCTGAGCACTGTGAAACGCGCATCCTACAAAACCACAGGCAGAAAGGGCAGAAAAGGGAACCGTGTTCTTCAGCAAGCAGTCCCGTGACTGGCACAGCAGTGATTTCAGGGGTCCTCCAGGGCCTCCTGGTAGGACACACATCACCAGCACTTGGAGACCCCTGCAATAAAACCTTGCTGAAGAAAGTGTGTTCACCACCTTCATCCTTTGGTCACCCTACCTGGATTTAGGAAGGAAGAGTTAGTTTACTGTTGATGTTGGGTATTTTTAATGCCCAGAGGCTGTGGGAAGGAAAGAGCAGGGGTTTGCTCTTGTTGGGGTGATGGTGACCATCTGCCTGGTCCTGCTCTTGCGCCTTGAGAACTGCGTCTCCAGCATCACCCCCACCAGAAAGTCCATCCCTGCTTGCACAAGGCCCACCCACACGTGGGGACAACTGGCTGAGGCCAAAAAATCAGGCTACAAAGAGTCACTGGAGTCACGCATGGTCCGGCACGACTCTCTTTCAGGAGGAACAAGGGCCCTTTGTACGCTGGGGACAGCCCACGACCAAACTGACACATGATCGCTCAGCGAGTCCATCGGCCAAGCTGCAAAACAGAACGGATTTGCCTTTTTTTTTCCGGCAAAATGAGCTGTTTTCATTCCGGGTGACGTGCAGCCATTCCCTTGGTGACCCAGCGACGCTGTCACTGTCCCGACACAGAGCTGATCCCAAGCACCCAGTGACATAGGGGTGAGATCGAGCAGCTTCCCCTGAGCTAAATGAGGCCAAACTCGTTAAAATTACACCGCTAACGCTGGCCGAGAGTTGAAGAGGAACCCAAACGCCCAAGAGGAGGAAGCAGAACCCAACCCGCATGCGCATTGTGGTCCTCAAGCCAAGCGTGTCCATCACCACACGGGATATCCCCAACCGCACGTTCCTTGGGATGCTCTAGGGGCAAGTTAGAGCCACCACGGACGTGGCACACAAAGGCTGACATCTCCCTCCATTCGCTCGCCCCGTTGGCCACCGGCGGGAAGGGGACCATAGGTCTTGTTGGCCCAGGCGCGCGCGGTCCAGGAACGCTCCCGCCCTGCCCAATCCGCAACATCTGCAAAAAGCCACATCTTCACTTTGGAAACTGCTCCACACAGGGAACTGAGATGCAGCCCACACCACCCGTGCCCAACAGGTTCCCCTTTCCCTCGTGCCTCGTCCTCCTCCATCCTTCCCTCCTTCCCACCCTCGCAGATGTTCTGCTTGACCATCCTCCACCAGTGTTTCCCCCCTTAGATGTCCAATACACTCAGGGAAACATGAAAATGCCTCTTTTTTATTCTTTTTTTGCTGTTATTTCCCTGACTTTTTTCTTCACTCTTAGCTCAGCCAAAGACACAAGGGTTCCCCACAAACCTGGCAGAGGATGAAATATCTTGAACAGGCCACCACGGAGAAGCAGACTGGCCAAGAGATGCTCAAAACGGCTCCAGGGAAGGTCCACGGTGCTCCAGAAACCTCAGTCTCACATGCAAGGAGACCCTAAGCCCACCCTGCCTTGAGTCAAGGCATGTCCTTGTCCAGGAGAGACTTTTCAGGGAATTTTTAGGGAAATCGGTGCAGGAGAACCACCAAAACCCCATGAAACCCTTGGATCAGGGGTTGAGTTGTACACCCGGTTGCATCCGTGGCGAGTGCCATGTGTTTGTGTGCCCCCCTGGTGATGCTGCTGTCCCAAAATACTCCTGTAACGGGATCCGCACAAGGATATTCCGATGCGTAAGCAAGGAAAGGAGGGGGCTGCCGGCTGTCGGACAGGGCTGTGCATCGAATCCCTGAGTTAAAGGATTTAATCCTCTTTTTTTGCCCCTTTTCCCAGTGATCCCACTGCTCCAAGGGGGGATTTTGTGCCATTCTAAGCTGCAGGAAGACAGCAGGAAGCTTCTGACCCCGCAGAACGGTGGCATCACCTCCTTGTCCCGAACGGCAACCCTCGACCCCCGTGCCTCAGTTTCCCCTCTGCTGGGAATGAATTTGGTTCTAATGCATGGAAACAATTTCCTGCCAATATACCTAGAAGGATGCAAACAGCTGGAATATTTTTTTTTCACAAAAAGTGTTTCTAGAGGGTTTCTACAGGTGAGCTATGCTGGAAAGGGGAGCCTGAAGGAAAGCTGGAATAACCTGTAAACCCCATCCCTGCTGTCTGTGTCTCAGTCTGCGGTCTGTGTTCCAGCAAAACGCTGCGGTTGTTCCCAAATGCCTTTTTTTTCCAGGAATTTCTCTCCACTCCTCCCGTGAACCCCTCCGACTCCTCACAACTGATGCACACACCAGCCTGAAGCCATCCCCCTCTGCAGCTTTTGCATTCGGAGAGAGCCAGAACCCCAAATCGCGCTGTCTCACCCCAAACCGCCTGCAGCGCCGCGTGCCGACCCTGATCCCCAAAACGACGGGGATGCAGAAATTGCAACAGGCTCCCGGCGCGCGGGGCTGGAGGAAGAGGAGGAGGAGGAGGTTTTGCCCACGCTCCCGCAGAGGAGGAAAGGGAACTCAGCGCGCACCAAAGGCCCTTTCGCAAGGGCCTGATAAGCAGCCGGGAGCGGAGGGTGCAAGGGGCGACGCTCTCGCCCGTGGCGGAAATGCCGCCCCGCTGAAAGCGGCCCTTTGCCAAGGCTCGGAGCCAAGGAAAAGAGGGAAAAGCTTCGGGAAAGGGTAAGGGGGGGGTCTGGCTTTTGGGTGCCGAGCCGAGCGCGCAGCCTGCGGATGCCGAGCGAGCCGGCCTGGCCGGGGGGGGGTG